CTTAAGTCGACTCAAGTGGAAATAATCAGACTGCTTCCATACCTTATCTCCGGTTACCCCTTAGTGCGCAATTGTACCCATACATGGATCCGTATCCCATAATCTAAATATTTAGATAGGATTCGACCTCTAGATTCGCACTCGTATCGAACACCCACACCTTAACCAGAGAAACTTAGGTTTCACAAGTTCAAGAGACATCAAACCAACTCGTGGTTTCCAATTATATGATGAGGAGATGTCATTTGACAGAACCAACACATGGCACTCTAAATTAAAAACCCAACCCACCACATAAGAACCCAAAACCCATCCAACCCAATTACACCCATCTAACCCAAATCGAATATGAGAAAGTAGTCAAAATGACACAGTCTACACAAATTAGATATGAGAAAGTAGTCACTGGAAGGATGGCACGATGCTACAGAATTAGATATAGATAACTAGTCACCTGAAGGATTGAAGGTATAGGACAGTGCTAACACAAACTAGATAAGAGAAAGTAGTCAACGGAAGGATGTCACGACGCAACACAAATTAGATAGGAAAAAAGTAATCACCGGAAGGATGACAGTGCTAGACAAATTAGATATAAAAAGTAGTCACCAGTAAGATGGCACGATGCTTACATAAACACTTGATAGAAATGAGCTCGACACAAAACAACCCCTTAAAAATCACGAAAATTGACACACGGTGGATAGTGTTTTCTTCCCCTGAATATGGGGTTAATGCATGTGTCGATGACCCTACTTGTGTTAACATAACCATTCACCATATGGACGGTATATATGGGTAATAGCCGCCCGCCGGCAGCGGAAGCTCTTTGATTCTCTACCTATGTTCCAAGTGACTACCTTGGCCGGTGATGCGTTCACCCACTTGCATGCTTCCTTGCAAGCACAATATCCTTAGTTCGCCCCTTTCTTCAAGAAATATGAGTACTTTTTGGTAAGGACAAGCCCTTTTTTGGCGTTGAATCGGGTCAGGAAGAACAAGTTGTTCCAACTCCGGGAAAAGATTCATCTTCCAATTTTCCCGAACTTTGTATCTACATTATTGCATTGCAACCCTATTTATAGACACTATATTAAGGCGGGTCCCAAATGATTTGTCTTCTTTTTTTGGATAGTTCTGAAGTTAGCCATATTCCATCTATCCATAGTCATAAGGCTTTTAGGAAGCTCAGCAAAGGTTGTAAACATAGTGCTCTGTTGATTAGTATGGCAAATCAATGCCAGTTTGTCAGCAACCTTGTTGGCCACTTTTGTAACAATGTCGCAAAATATAACCTGCATTCTCCATGTGGGCTTTTAGTTCCTCCACATCTTTCTGCTCTTCCATGGAGCAGAATTTTGATCATTGACACAATTTACTAGAAGTTTTGAGTCACTTTTTGCAAAGATAAACTCATATTTATTGTTGATGCACCACCTTATGCCATATTACAGTGCCATAACTTCAGCCCAATTACTAGTGCCTTCTCCAAGATTTAGTAAGCAAACAAAAAGAAGATGCCCCTCGCAATCCCTAATCACCCCTCCACCTCCACAGAGATCAGTGTTGTAACTACCATCTGAGTTTAGTTTCACAAAACTAGTTGATGGTTTACACCATTTAACCATAACTCTCCTCCTACTGATAATATTACTTATCTTCAGATACACAATATACTCCCAGTTAGGCATCAACTTCACATTCACAAATTGGCTAGCCACCAGATGAGTTAAAGTAACAGCAATCTGATTTATGCACTTCCTGACACTATATTGTTCTTTTCCATACTTCGCCCCACATCTTGCTTTCTATAGTTCCCATGTAGCTACAATAAGGAGATATTTCACAATTAAGGCTAGGACCGAATTTCTAGTTTTCCAGGTCCACCAGTTCCTGACCATACAGGATTGACCATATCTCTTGTGCAAACTCTCCAGAACAGAACAGATGAACAATACCTTCTTCTCAGGGATTCTTGCAACAACAACACCTTCAGGTGGCATGGATGCCCATCCTTATCAGATTTGAATCAGTAGGAATTTTATCCCTCAGGGCTCTCCAAAGGATGAAGTTCATTTTAAAAGGGACTTGTTGTTCCAATACATGGTATTGATCCAACTCTTATCCCATTTTTGTCTCGTGATGTTCCATGTTGAGGAGATGGTACCATTTGACATATTGCTAGTAGGGCTGGGCATAAACACCGGAAAACCAAGACGCCGCACCAAACTGAATTTTTTTGGTATTTCGGTTTCGGTTTTTTGGTTTTTGGTTCGGTATTCGGTATATGTTTTTGTATTTATCGGTATTTCGGTTCGGTTTTCGGTATGTAATTTTGTGTAATTTGGTATTTCGGTTTACCGAAATATATTATATTATAATATATATTTATGTTATATTAATTATTAATATTAAATAATAAATATTATACTTTAAAAAAAAAAAGTAAAAGACTTTTTAATATAACTATTATTAGCCCATTAAGCTGAAAATCAAACAAAAAAATTGTAAATTTTTAAAAGCCCAACTAAGCAGGTCCATTAAAAAAACCGAAATAACAAAACCGAACCAAAATATTTCGGTTTGGTATTCGGTACACAATTTACAAAAACCGAAAATCGAAAAAACCGGAAAAAAAAACCGAACCCGAACCGAAATACCAAATGCCCACCCCTAATTGCTAGATTGGAAAACTTGGTGTCATTTGGTGATGACCAAGGTTTCAATTATTTTTGCATTTTATTCATATCAAATTGGAGTTTAAATCCTTTAAGATTAGGGAGAAGTAAGCCACTTTCTGTATCTCCCTCAAATCATTGTACTTAGTTAAGATGAATAAAATGCAGTACGTTTGTATAAAAATAAAAAAATAACTATATTAGACTACTTTTCCAACTAGGACACTACTAAACAATCTTTTTCTACGTAGGATTTATATATATATACTATTCCTATTCTAAAAATTAAAAAAGGATTGTATATATTATTCTTGTTCGTATTCCTATTTTAACAAAAGTGTAGTGAGCTCATTCATCAACCCGTAGCTACTAGCCAGTCAAGAGGGATAGTTAATCTAGACCATCCCTTTTTGGCCAACGCAACCCTTGGTGCTCTATATACTCAAAAAAATGTATTTTCTCCTACTTCAAGTATTCACAAGCTGACTACTTGTTTTACAATTCACAAGTTAACTAAATATTATCTTCATATGCTTTCGTATATAGATGTAGGTTAACTGGTTGATTCATATAATAATATATTACTAGTCTTTATGTAACGATGAGAAATGAAGAGACTTTATGGGTTTGCAAGAGGAATCTGGCTTCCTAAAAAAAGGAGAGTAATGTGTATTCACATAATAGAAAAACTCATGTTGTCAAACTCAATTTACAGGCTTTTTTTAACCTAAGTAGCTCGGACTCGACAATTTTTGTGCCACAACCGTGTCGAAACGACACTGACACGGGTAAGGGTGTTGGATCTATGTCAGATTCTGTCAAACGAGATCGGGTGTATTGACCAAGACTTCGGAGAAAAAAAGGCAACTTTGACAACTCAAAAGTAAATATCTGAGTAGATAGACCTGAAACAAAATACCTTCAATCCTGCTCTTATAAAGTAATTTATACATCCTTTTGTCTCCTTTGAAGTTTTTTTCTTGGTAAATCTTTTTGTTCATGTGGCAGTTGCGGGTCTACAATTTCTATTTTGGAACAGAGAAACTGAGAACCGGTGATGACGTGGTGGACTTCTAGACTTTGCATGTCGTGACTCGTGAGTACTAAGTTGTAAATTAATGGGGAAAACAAAGATACAGAGAACTTGTTTGGGGAGAAGATGGAGGCGAGAAGAGGAAGCAGAGCTGCAAAGGAACAAAGATGAAGAAGAGTTGAAGACGACCGAGAAGACTAATTTATTAGTTTAAATTGAATTTTAGTCCTTTAATAGCTGCCATGTTTAATTACTATTATTATTATTATTATTATTATTATTCAGATTTTTTATGAATATATATACATATTGTTTTGGTTATATGAGATAAATATTACCTATTCATTTGAGTTTATAAATGAGGATTTGTTTTGGTTATATGAGATAAATATTACCTATTCATTTGAGTTTATAAATGAGGATAAACATTATAGTTATAAATTAAAGTAAATTAGGGTTCATTAGTGTGGATAAACATTATAATTATTTAATTGTAAATTAAAGATTAATATATATGCTCTGAAGACACATATTTTTAATGGAAACTAATGTTGGCGTAGGTATGCTCAACATATTAGTAATATATTTAGATTTTTTTTGCCGAACTCCGCTCACCCGTATCCATATCTAGATTTATATCTTTGAATCTTAAAAATTAGATCATGACAGATCCGACATGTAGATCACACCCGTGTCGGACACCCGCACCCGAGTCCGAGCAACTTATGTTTCAACTATTGTTAAAATTTGAAACAATACAAGAACTAGGTAATACACAACATTGCCTTCTTCCATACTCAAGCTATTGTGATTTATTTGGAAACCTTTGAAGAGTCGTAACAGATTTCTATAACAAGGTAATGAGGAATAGGAAGGGATGACAATACACATCCTAAAAGGAGAATTTCAGTTGTGGCTTTTATCCAAGGAAGACAAATCATGGATGCAGTGTCGATGGCTAATGAGGCAGTGGATTCCAGACAAAAGCAAAAGAAACCAGGAATACTTTGTAAGCTTGACATGGAGAAAGCCTATGACCATGTTAATTGGGAATATCTTTTGACCACAATGGGGAGATTGGGATTCGGGAAGAAGTGGATCCAATGGATCAGACATTGTATCAATACTGTGAGATTCTCAGTACTTGTGAATTGATCCCCTGTTGGTTTCTTTAGTGCAGAGCAGTGTTGTGGACGGCGAGAGGCGACAAAAGGCGACAAGGGCCTGCCTCGCCACGCGGCGAGGCAAGAGGCGAGGCGCTTGCCTTTTTGAATAAAGGCGCCAATTAATACCAAAAATTAAAAATATTTAATTGCATATTTTATCCAAAGTCTAAATAGCAATAACACACACTAGCAAATATTCAATTCTAAAACCAATAGAATGTCTAAAACTTTAAAGACCAAACAATTCAAAATACAATAAACCAAAACTTTAAAAGTCTATTCTTCTTCAAAATTATCCAACTCTTGAAGATCAAAATCCTCTACATCATTATATTGCTCTTCATCTTCTTCCTCCTCGTATTCTTCATCAATTAGTGTCCGAGTCCTACTTGAAGATGAACTTGTAGATGTACTTTCTACTCCTTTACCCTTGTCAAGTACTGTTGATCTTGAAGAAAGTCCCCTAAGATGATAGATACTCTCGTCCGCTCCAATTGCCGTAGCAACACTACCCCAAGTAAGATCATCATCCTCATATACTAGTTCATCATCTTGATCTTCGGGGCATCCAACTAACCATTCATTTGACTCGTCTATGTTATCCAAGCGAATTGGATCAATAAGATCACGAGCATCATAACGACGTTTCAATGTTCTATTGTACTTAATGTACACTAGATCATTGAGACGCGATAGTGTAAGCCTATTCCTCTTTTTGGAATGAATCTGTGCATAAGTTATTGATATTAACTAGTTGATATTGATAATAATATAATATGAAAAATAGGATATAAATTTTTACTTACGTGTTCAAACACACCCCAATTTCGCTCACATCCAGATGAGGTACAAGTTAGGCTTAATACTTTCATGGCAAACTTTTGCAAGTTTGGTGTTTCACTACCAAATAGTAACCCACCATTCAACTATAATAAAATAAATTTAAAGGTTAGTGACTATAAGTAAGTCAAATAATTTAAGTAAGATCTAAATCAACCCACTTACCCGGTGACCTTGTGTCTCTAGCTCTTTTAGCCGGACCACAACCAAATAGTCCATCCGCCATTTTGTACTTAGGAAGCTCAGCGATTAGTGCATCTTGTATTGTTGTATCACGGACCAACTTCTCAACACATGCATAATACTCGGTCCACAAACTCTGTAATAAAGTTCCCTCTTCTTCAGCTTTATAATATAATCCTGGGTTCAAAACATGGCCTGCAGCATGCAAAGGCCGATGGAGTTGTTCTGACCACCTTGCATCAATAATTTGAAACACTTTCTCATAATGCTTCTGAACTCCACGAAAACCATGTGCAATAGCTTCTTTGGCTCTATCCATTGCCTCATAAATATAACCCATTGGTGGTTTTTTCTCCCCATCCACCAAACGAAGCACTTTTTCAAAGGGCTACAAACTGTAAGTGCCCGAACAACATCATTCCAAAAGTGGATAGAAATAAGAAGATTGGCAACTTCTTTCCCCGAAGTTTCCTTTGCAAATTTACTTGAATTCCATTCGGTTGAGAGGACTAAAGTTTTCAAGTTTTTTCTTTGTA